AATGTATTTTAAGAAAACTGGTTTTTATGGAATGAATTACTTTGGAATTCAATTAATTGGCAGATTATGCATTATATTAATTGGCAAATTTTATCAATCTGATGCAATTAATTAGCAGATTATGGATCTTATTATATTATATATGGATTAATTATATATATAATTAAATTTTTGTTAATTTTTCATTGGAAGAGAGGAATGAAGATTGTTTTTCAATTAATTTATTTTATATTTCCTCATTACTGTTCAATTCCTTTTCAACTTTTCATAAAAAAAAATGAACAATCGGAGAGAAAATTAAATTAGTGGCATCATTTAACAAACAACTAATTTCAAAATCATGCCTAGAAAATAAAATAAAATTTAAATTTTCATTAAAATATGATATAATAAAAGAAATTATTTAAAAAAAACAATATAGTAGCATATATGTAATAGAAATCAGTATTCAACACGAATTTCCATAATAAAAATGATTGAATAGTGAGCAGTTACAGTTTTTACTTAAAAAAAATATTAATAATGTACATTTGTAACGTAAAGTTTTGAGGTTTTATTAAATTTTTTGCTAACAATTATGTAGATATAGATTTGTTAGGGTTGTTCTATTCTTAAGGTTAGTTTGAGTCACAATAGTATTAGTTGATTAAAGCAGGAAGTGGTTGATTCCAAATACCTTGATTTGTTCTTCAAGGTAGTGCTTGGAAATGGAATGATCCAGCCCTTCTTCGGCACCTTTCTTTTCCATCTCATCATCTAGTTTAGCCATTTGTTGGAGAATGGCAAAAGCCTTATCCTTCACTGCGGTTATCTCGTACTTGATAAACTGTCCACAAAATAAAAAAAACAGTGTTTAAATAATTGAAACCATAATAATTAAATGGAATCTTATACAAACGTGTGTGTATGTACACATATCTTACCCCGTAATGAATTTCAGGGCCAATTGGGTCAAGAGAAGGCTTACCAACCACAGTTGTTATATTTTCAAAGTGCTCGTCTATTAAATTACAACTACCATGCATCTCAACTAGTTCATAGTACATGTCTCCCATCAGATCATCTGAACGACTCCTTTTCCTTGAGAATTTAGCTCCCGACTTCTGACACAATTATAAAATACTTGTTATTTTTAACAATAAATCGAGAAAATGAAAAACAATTACTTATTACCTGGTATACTTCTTCTAGGTGTTTGTAAAGCAAATCCAGCATTCCTTGCGTCCATCCAACCGCGGAGCGAAGCGATGAACAGTGTAATTGGATATTATCGAGCTCAAGATTGTAACGCTGTTCACAGGAAATAATAAGAAGAAAACAAAACGAATTCAATCACACGAAACAATAACAATAGTGTGGCTCTCACTAACTAATTCATAATAATCTACTTACCCCGACTAAGCGTTTCTTCCACTTAATCTCGCTCTCAAATTCCTCGAGCATAGTGATTTTGTGACGGCACTCGTCACACCTACACGCCTGACGGAAATCAGGCGATTCTGAAAAAAGGAGATTGAAACTTATCTGCAGTTCTTCTTCCATATAAGCTCGCACATCGGTCACCAACCTCGTGCTCATCAATCTGATTTAAGTTAAAAAAAATATATTATTACCATTATTATTATAATAAAGAAAGTAGCAAACGAAATACAACTTTTTCTTTTTTGCAGTCAGTCACACACACAACAGTCACACACGATAAAGAAAGACCAACTAAAATCTACAAATAGTTACATTACACACAAGGTATCATAGTTCATACCTACACAACATTTTATACTATTAGCCATACCAGTGACACCACGATCCACATCAATAACAATAACAGATGACAGCCTCAACAATTTTTGACATTTACAAAATTTCATTACAACTTGTGTGTGAGCAATGTCACAAATTCAAAGTGCTCACAGTTTGCTCAGACATATATAATTTCAGTTCACATAGGCATATAACTGAAGAAGAACTAAACAATAGTGGCCTACACGAGCAGATATAACTGAAGTACTGAACTATAAGTTCCTATAATTCCATTTCACTAGAAAAGATCCAATTTTTAACACATAACTATTAACTAAATTTAAACTTCGAACATTTACTGAATTAATTTGCTTCCAATAAATTCTATACCCTTAAATCATGATTCAACCAACAAAGCTAGCCTAATTCAGATCCCCCAAACAAGAAAAATGAAAGCTTTTGTCAGTCAAATGAGAAGCCCACGACCCCTGCAAAGATCAAGCAACTCAGATTCCTAAATAAACTAGCAAATATACCCCAGGTTCAATCTAAAAATTCAATTTTTAAAACTACAGTTACTTACACGATCACCAATCCCACAATCGGAATCTAGACCAACAAA